CACACACACACACACACACACACAGCACTTGAGATCCATTTGCATTTCCTTTTTCATTTTTTTCCTGTGAGATGTCTGACAGGCTGCATCAATGCAAAAAATGAAGTGGGGGTGAGCGAGAGACAAAACGGGTGAGACTGGAGAAAAGGGAGAGAGAGGCAATGACAGAACAAGAGAGGGAGAAAAAAGAGAAAGAAAGAAGCAGAGAGAGATGAAGAGAGCAGGTGTTCTCTTTATCCACCTGCCACTTCACTGATCCTCGCTATGAAAGACACGAGCACAGAGACACATAACAAAAAGGAGGATATGCATTACCAAGCCACTCTCAGTGCTTCGCCCTCTCATCCCTCTCCTTATTTATCACTCCCTTTTCTCTCAGCTAGTCTTTTAAGTGCAGCGCCACAGATGTAAAGAGAACACAACGCTGCAAAAGGTTAATGTAAGAACGTACACAGGAATGTAAAGATAACAATAACTACTATTTGTTTCATGAATGAATGAGTCGAAGGGATTGAGGGAACTACGAGCCGCCAGCCAGCCGCCTGCAGCAGAACCAGACCCACTGTGGGCTGATGACACAGCACTAGCTCCAGCCAATCAGCACTGACAGACACATGCTCAATAGCTTTGCTAATTAAACATGTGACACATAATTAAACAAAGCTTTGTGGTGGAGTCACAACAGTGACGTTTTGGTCTGCAAGTTGGTCTCCTTTATGACTAATTAGCAGCATCTGCATCTTGATTGGTCGACCCCTACGTTCAGCATTTACATTTATGTTAATACAGCTGAGGACAGATTGGAGCATCTGTATTATCTTTATACTGCTTTAAATATGGAGAATAAAAAAAGAAAAGAAGAGGCATAATAAGGTGATGAGGACGGATGAGACCCGGGAAAGCAAAAGCCAACAGGAAGTAACCACAGAATTAAATGGAGGAGGACAGAACCCGGCGTTTGTTGATAGGCAGAATGAATGGAGGTACAAGCAGATAAAGCGACCAAGATAAACCTACAGATCAGTGTCATAATATCGCCATGAAAGCACTCTTCACTAGTGTTTGGCTCCACAGCAGGCCCGTTAAACCAGAACACCCTCCTCCCATCCAGTTGGTTTTGTGCATCCAGTGAAACCTATTTACCTTTTCACCTCCGAGCTCCTAGCACACTTCCAGCACAGCGCTTTATTCACAAAGAAATATAATATAGTTGAAATGCTATTTCAATAAACCAATTTACAGTAAATCTGTGTCCCTGTATGAAAAGGACATTTTGATTCCAGCGTAATGAGTTTTGTGGTGTGCGCGCGGTGCGGCTGAAATTATGATGGACCATTACTGTATTTATAGGTGCAGCTTCCCATTTAAAGGTGCACGAGTTCCTGCACGGCGTTGGGAGGAGCGCGACGTGCACGGAACCGCACACAGCAGCCGTAGCTAACACACAGCCACACAGACACGCGTGTTGGTTTAACGTATGCGCTGCTGTGCCAGTATTTATGGCCGCGTTCTGCGACTCATTTTGGACTTTTTTGCAATTTCAAGGATCGTTTCCCCGGCGACCACAAAAACCATTACATCACTTTTACATTACTCACAGCTGAGGTGGTGTGTGTGTGTGTGTGTGTGTGTGTGTGTGTGTGTGTGTGTGAGAGAGAGGATATGTGCAGAATACAAGTTACAGAGAAAACGCCACCAGCGTGAGCGGGCGTCCTGAATATTTACCTTTACATTTGTGGCTGTGAAATACGCGCTGCTATGAGGGGATCAGACTTGAATTGTTCCCATTTACTTTGCTTGTCCATGAACTCAGGTGGCCGAGTGGAGCTCCACAGTAGCTCATAATGTGCAGCAGACAGTCTGCTGCTGCCCAGACTCATGAGCTCATCTGTGCTGGGTGCTGGTTGGCTCTGGAGAGGCTGAGGTCACACCCTGGTCTCACCACAGGGCTGGAGCCGGCTCTCCTTACAGGTCGTCCACATGTGGTTTTGTTCTATCATTATGAATTAACTGTGGATTTAGAGCACGCCCACACTGACCTGCTCCTTAGTGAAACACACAGTAATAAAGTGTCCATTAGCGGAGGTCAGTGCTGTCACAGAGCAGCACACTGATCACTGATGTAATCGGCTTTTCTCACACTGACAGCGTGTTTAACTGTGTGTTACTCCTGGTAGTCACAGACTGCCGTCGGCTTGTGGGATCTTGTGTGATTACTAAACACAGCTGTGTTTTTTCTATCTCTATCTCAGCTCAGGGTTAAATCAAGTAAATGAGAAAAATGAAAACGCCAGTGTTGTTGTTTGTGCCTCGGTTCCTAACGGAGGGAGGCATTAGAGCCACATCTCAACTACCGAGTGTGTCTGAGGCATCACACAGACGGCAGCAGGGACACATGATGAGGAACGTCATGAGCAAATCAGCACTTCATGTGGTAAAGTTAACGTCCATCACATGGTGAAGGCTGCTTCCTGGACAAACCTCTACGTTTAACTCTCGTGGTGACAGCAAACGTTCTCACCGAGTTTAATGTGGTTTTCATGTGTGACTATTAAAGGTGCTCGACTCCATCGGCTGGTATCAACATACATATAAATCGGTACATTTATTCTGAACGGGCGTCTCTGTAAAGGATGATTTTATAAACTGCTCTATTCCACAGGAAGACTATTTGTGGTGACCTGAGCTGCTCCACAAACCAAACACAGGCTGCTAATGATCTTGTCGACTTCGTGGAACACTGTGCACATGTTGACTTCAACAAATAAACAGTTATTAATCCATTACACTCTTTTACTTAATTTTAAGCCTGAACACTGTTGTTAAATAACACAACATGATAGCTGGACTCTGTTATCTACCTCCTCAGCATCCTGACCGGAGCCTTCGGCGGACACATGACCTCCAGTCATTCCTGTCTCCATGGACTCTGTTATTAAGTTGTCTCTGAACTGTGATGTAGGATTTTAGGAGCTCATAGTCACAGCAGATTTGAATCAAACTCAAACCTACAACAATAAGAGTCCTGTTACCAAAGAAAGACCGACACACAAACCCGTCCTAAACGCCTCACATTAAAAAAAACCTGAAAAAATGTTCTGATTAAATTCTCACGTTCATGGAATAATATGAGCTTATTAAATTGGGTCAAGCGTTGCACCGTGAAGGTCACGTATTTCTGTGCTGCTAAAGGTCCAAAGCAGTGCGACGACAACCTGAAGCGTGACTCGTGCACCTTCATCTGAGCGCCGACCACGCTGGCATGGAAACACAACTATTTATGGAAATGCTGTTGCTTCAGTCGTACTCTGATTACTCCTCTGTCCTCCTGTGCTAGGATGTGGTGTTCTGCTCCACAACGAGCACAAACACACACCCAGAGCACACACAGGGCGCTCTGCACCCCAAACACTCCCAACGCTCCCCTCATTAGCGTATGCATGTGTTCAGCTGTCTGCCTGTTCAGAAAGAAAGCAGATGCAAGTGTGTTTTTAGCTGTTTGTTTTTTAGTCCGTGTGTGTGTGTGTGTGTGTGTGTGCGTGTGTGTGTGTGTGTGTGTGTGTGTGTGTGACCCTGACCCTGTTTTGGCAGTCTTTTGTAGTGAGCTAATGATGGAGCTTCTTTACACTAACTATATCTGTGAGGGCCTTGATCTGGATTAGAATGCTGTTTTAATGAAGGGAAAGTAGGACAGAAACACACACACACATCAGTAAACATGAATGCAGACACAAGCACATACAAAACCTTAACGAACTACATAAAACAGTCCAACGGATCCAGAGACACACTGGCTTATTCAGAACATTTAACCCAACCCACGGCGCCGGTGGTTCATCTGGATAAACTACAAGCAACGTGAATGAAAACTAAACAGATTCAGATGAAGGCAGACAACAATGACACACACACTGACCTGCCACTGAAGGTGTGCTTGCCGTGGGCCCGGTCCAGCCCGGCCTGCCTCTCCACAGCGGGACCGGCTGCCTGCAGGAAACACACACACACACACACACACCCGTCCTGTTAGCGAGTGAACAACGAGCTCCAGCAGCACAACATGAATGAATCCTGGTGACCAGAACGGTGCTGCTGAACCACAGACATAAGAATGAGCGGCTGAGTGGAGGAGTTCAGGCAGGTCCGAGTTCTGATCTTCTAATGTCATAATCCTCAGCTCAGCAACTCGGTCTTTGAAAGACAAGCCAACACAATGGGAGTGAATGAATGAATGAACGTATGAATGTATGAGTGAAGTGAGGAGTGAAGGAGCTGCTCATTTGATTGATGAATGACATACAAATAGTAATTACTACTTGAAGGCAAGAAGACAGTGTTGTCAAGCAGTGATAAATAACACTGTCACTGGGAATGGCAACCAGGAAACAGACGGCGAGGAGCCAGAAAGACGCGCAGATACGATGCACACAAGATGGAATAAAGACTTTAACAGCAGCACAGGAGTTGCACGAAGTGTAGAAACAGGTTCCACAGTGATGGAGCTCCACAGTCAGGAACAGATCAGCAGTGTCCATACGAACCACAACCTAAACCTGATCCATACATGTGAACGGACCCTCCATCATGAACAGTCATAAATCCCACCTTTGGGAGGCTGGTAATGATTCCAGACATTTAGCCAATCACGCTTCGTATTATTTAGATACTGTGAAGAACATCTATTGATTTAACGGGTCTACAGAGAAAGACGGTCATCCTGCTCCGTGCCAGCTGTGTCTACCAGCACACACTCTTCTTTATGAGTAAATGCTATCTGAGGGCTTAACTGTTTGCTCTGTGACATAAATCTACATCCACAGCAGGGTTGTACCCAACAGGAAGGTGGCACTGAAACCGTACTACACTTTATGTTGTTAACACCCACAATTAAAAACTGATAGGGTTCTGATATGAGCCTGACTTCCTGTCTAAAGTGTGACACCGGGCCGCTGTGTGCTGCAGCTTTCTGCTTCTACTCTGCAGGCGTAGCGGCGGCGGCGGCACACGGCAGCTGTCATGGCTGCAGATAGCAGCGGTCTGTCGACGGTGCACGAACTGTCCACAAAGCACAACATACAAACCAGGGGGAGCTCAGGAACACAACGAAGCCCGTCTCTGAAAGACGCTCTATCGATGGAGACTGAGGGAACCAACTCCTCCAACAAAAAACATCTTGGACAGAAGTGTTCAAAGCACAGCTTACAATGCCCGACCAGAACCTGTGAGCCGCTATAGACCAGGTGTTGGTGAGTATAAAGACCAACAGCACCAGGTAGAAATGAAGACCTGAGTGGTTGGTTAGACTGGAAGCTACTGCGCTCCCACTGATCTATAAGGACTTCACCTCGTTTAAGCAGCGGTGGGATATGTGAAGGCTGAAGGACGCATAAAGAGCTGAGCTTAATGAAGAGTTCTTCCAATCCTGGCTAGATCTATAACGAAGATATAGTTTTAGTATTTGTACAATTAGACAGCTATCATCTCAAAGTCTGAATGTTAGACTGGTGACAGCACTAATCAGCACAGACAGGTAAAATCCTTCTTCTCTCTGGTACAGTCACACCACAAACACTGAAAACATTAAGCCTAACCCTAACCCTAAACCCTAACCCGAACCCTAAACCTAAACCCAGAACCCCAACCCTAACCCTTCATACGAGGCCTCGTTTCTCTACGGCTGATAGAACAAAAAGCATCAGAGAACAGTTTTAAAGAACCACCTTCCTCATTCAGACCTGGAATGAACCCAACACTGTCTATAGTGAGAGCACGTTTAGCATCTTTATTTTGCTTTTAAATTTACAGGAAGTCAAACATCATCTCCATCACCATTTCAATGAATCCAGACTATTCTAGGGTCTATATTTAGAAGTTGAGACTACAAACTATAGCAGGAGAAGCCTCGTCTCCACCACAGAGTAAACCTACGGGTGTTAAAGTAAAGCCAGTTTAGTTTGTAGTAAGAAATGCAAACACACATAATGAACATATGTGAGCATCACAGCGGGTATCAGAGCAACGGGGTGAACTGAGCGCATGTTTGTGAGCATATGGAGACGCATGCAGGTCAATAAGGCTGCGTGTTCGTCTCTACCACTAATGGACTCCTAACATGACCCTCCACCTTTGACCTCCAGTGACCCCCAGCTGCCCTACGAGCTGCTCCACCTGTCAGAGAGGGACGGGAAGAACAACAGAAAGACACTGAAGCTAATGGAAACAGACGGCATCAGAACGGGATCAGAGAGCAAAGGAGAGCCGGGCTGAGTCAGCAAATAACACCTGGAATAGGTGAATACGTAGAAACGAAGCAGGTGAAGGAAGGAGGGATCAGACTGAACTACAGCAGCATGTGTGAGGTGTGGTGGAGGAAATCAGCTGGTCTGGCTGCTGATGTTGTCATGTGAGCTCAATTAGCAACAGGATGACAGGCAGCATTAATTACACTCACCTCTCTGTCGTATACATTAACTGTGAAGTGTTTGGTGCCTAATTGTGTGTCTCGTTTAATAACTGCGTATAGAAACAGTCTCCAGCGTTTTCTCCTCCTCGTACGTATTAATTACAAAGAGCATCAACGTATGTTACCTATCAAAGGCTAATTTAAAACAAGTCAATGATTCTGAACAAATAAACGTGTCTCGTTACTCCTGCTAGCATTTCAGCGATCCTCTGAACTCCTCGTCGTTTGGAAGCTGCCAGTATCACAGCTACACTTCTTATGCTGAGGGATCCGTTTCATTCACTGATGCTGCGCTTTCAACATGAGCAAAGCTTTATTTGGTTATTAGAGGTGCACACTGAGGTATTATTAAGGCTGAATATTCACAGACATCCTGGCTTTCTTTACCTGATAATCACATCAGACTGTAGCACAAACAGCTCCATAAAGACAGTTGACTGAACTCATGACTGAAAGGCCCAACGCTCTGACAAGAAATCACAAATAGAGTTATTAAATTACAAAGATTTATTAGAAATATGCTGAGAACTGCAGGGAAAAAATTAATACATTAGTGTGTCGCCGCTGGACAGCTGAATCAATAACTGTGAGCATTAGTCGTCGTCCAAAAACTGGAGAACAGAGAAGCAGGATTTCCATTTTAACTCAGTGATGGATAATCCTACCTTGAATAACTACGCTGTAATAAATGGGCTGCGAGCATTTAGGCTTCTGCTCCAATCTCATAATTGCTAAAAGCAGACAAAAAGAGCAAACTATTAGTAATATTACTAATTACTGAACGACCAATCAGGCTAAGTGTTCCCTGAAACACTCCCAGACTGAGTATGATAAATTAGTGGTGCTGCATGCTGGGCACTTTGTGTACGTATGTGTTCATCTGTATGAAAGTGATAAGACGAAGGTGATCCATCTCAACATGAGCCTTGTGCAATGTGTATGATGAATGGGACTGAACGGGCCGTACATATATATATACATACATATATATATATATATATGTATGTATATATATATGTACAGTCGCGACTCGATGATCCGACCCTAAATGTAAAACCTTCCTTTATGTCGGATTGTCAAGACGCAGGTGGAGATACGAGGAGGGCTTGATGCTTGAACGGACACTTCCACCCCGGGGCAGCGCTCTGACGGGGTGGAAGTGTCCAGAACACACAGGCAGTACTTGGCTGCTGATGCTAGTTTAGTTAGCGCTCACACTTCTGTTTCCTCCATCGGTGGCGGCGGGGGAGTGGCAGATACGCTCCACCGTTACCATCCATGTTTACTTCCATAAACACTGAGCACGCTCGCTGCGTGTGACGTCATCGTGTCCTCTTGTGCGCATGCGGGACACTTTTGGCTCGTATGAAGTTCACACAGCAGATCACATACAAGTCGCATTGAAGTGGAAACGTGAAGGAAGTCACAAAGAAATCCTCATTGAGCATCAAGTCCTGCAGTGTGAACGTAGCCAATCTGTGGGATTGTTCAGTCAGATAATACGCCGTCATCCTGATTGGTGACATTAAATGTCATGTCGGAGTCACAATCCAAGGCTGTCGCTATGTTAAGGCTGTTTTTATGGGTTCTGTTGGGTTTTCCTGTCAGATAGCAGGTTTAGGATTGTTAAGGGTCGATGATCCAGTCACGGTTGTATATAGATATGTGCATAAGAGTGGCTAACAATGATGGCTGTGTGTCATATGGGACAAACGTCATCATTTAGTGGAGCAACGTGTGACAGTGCTTGTTTTAGACGTTACCTCAGCAGCCGGAGGGACATTTACAGACATGACAGTGTTGGTATATGTAGTACATGTAGATATCTACTCCCCAACAATGCAGCTGCTAGCAGTTCCAACTATACAAATAAACCTAATTTACTCCTTAACATTAGTCTCTTATTATTTGTACAGAGTGTGTGAGTATTTATTTACGTGTTGTTTCATGGTCGTATCGTGCTGTCACTGAACATGTCTGCATCCCTGGTCAGTGTTGGTGTACTTCTACTTAAAGCAGCTCAGATCAGGAGATCATCACCCTGCAGAATATAGAGGAAGAGAAGAAAACGAGATGATCCTACAAATAGGTGGAACAGAACTGCAGGAAGAGAAAAAAGACTTGGAGGACGAGATTAAAGCTGTGAAGGTGGAGAATCAAGAAAGAACAGACAGGGGACTCCTCAGTTTCTTTAAAAGACTGATGACAGGAAAGACAAAAGCAGACAAACAAGGACAGAGAAGGAAAAAGAAAAAGCAGAGAAGGAGCTGAAGAAGAAACAGGAGGAGGTGGAGAAAAGGGCTTGCTGGAGTTGGTTGCACTGCAGTGTGATGGAGGTTGGACCACAGATGTTCCCTCCATCTCCCCCGTCTCCATCGTCCCTCCATCGACCAGTTCTCCTCACCCCGTCGCCATCTTTCACCTCCATTACCATCCACCACTAAAGTCCATCTCCTCCGTTCCTCCAGGCTTTCCTTCTCTCCTCTTCATCCACCCTCTCCTTTCTCTCATCCCCGTCTCTCCT